ACTCTTCCTCCTCCCTCCTCTTCCCACGGCGCGCCAGCGAATCTGGCGAGTCCAACCCATCGAGCATGGTCATCTCGTCCTCGCTCGGCGTGATCCCTCTGTGGAACCTGCCGGCGGGCGGTTCCCTGTCTGTGGGCGTCTCGCACTTGTCGCCTGGCCCAGCCCCGCAGCTCTGCAGAATGAACGTCAGGACGCTGAGGACCACAACCAGGGCGAGCAGGATGGCCGGGATCGACATCGGAGGTGGAGTGTTGAATTCCTGGGGGCCCACAGTAAGATGCCAATACAATTGCTCCCCGGAACTCTCCCAGGGGTGCGTTCTGGCCAAGATGTTCCAGGGCAAATCTATCCGTCGCGGCCAGAGCTCCGAAGGAGACCCACCACAAATCGGCAGGGAGGGAAGAGCACCTGTATCGGTGCGTATTGTTGCCTCCTCGGAAGTCCATATCTAAAAAGGAAATGGCATACGTTGCCAGCGTGGAGATGCACTGCACGACGTTCTTCACAACGGTGCCGAAACGGGCCGTTATCAGCGTGGACATCCAGGTGGCGGGGACCTCAAGATGAAGCCAGCGATGCGAGCTGATCCACAGCCGGGATTCCTGACTCTGACCCAGCCGGCCCGACCCGCCTCAGAGCGCGGAGTTCCCTGCTGTGCCAAAATTGATCCCATGACGATCGGGTATCACGGATCGCGGATCAGGTAGCTTCTGGAGCCTCTGGGGGTGAGGATGCGGAGGGAAACTAAAACTTACGACAAACTTTGTTCGTGGGCCCGATTGACCGCCCCGATCCCTATCGTTGTCGGCGCGGACAAGGGGGTAGGGGGAGGGGGGAAGGCTTCTTAGAAGGCGGCTGCCTCTTAGAAGGCGCCAGCCGCTTTTCTAAGAAGGGGGGTGCTTCTAAGAAGCCTCCCCCCCTCGCCCTACCCCCCCTCTGCGCGTGGCCCGTATCGGACGGATCAGCGGCTCGATCGAGCTCCGATCGACATATCGGGGTCTCCCGAGCTCCTCCCCTCTTCCAGGCGCGCTGAGGTCAGGGGCCCACCCGAGTGCGCAGACCAGCACCTTCCAGTCCCAGCCGACGAAGACGCCCCTGCCGGGGGAGCCGCAGGAATACCTTTCGAGACTACGCCCCAGACCCTGGCCATCGCTGGAACGTCCATTCCCAGGGCTTTGTTCGGTTTCGTGCGTGGCTTTTTCGCCAAACAATCCAGGATGCTCCTCGATGGTCCTCGCCGCAGGAGAAATGCACACGCCCGAGCGCTGCCAAGGACCTGTCCTCCCGGGGCGCGCTCTGGCCAGGACTCCGCGGCGAGTGCGCCGACCGCCCGCGGCGTTCTCGGGGCCTCCCGCGGGAGGCCGAAGAAGAGAGAAAAGCGGGCGACGCACGCGGGGAAGGAATCGGCATTGGCTCAGTCGGGCCGCTGAAAGAGGGAACGGGAACAGCACTGGAGGAGCCTAAGGAACATCGAGCCCCCTCCGAACCCGAACTGTTCCTGATTTCAGCGTCCTGACTGTACGGGCACGGCTTGTTTTTCCCCCCGCTCGCCTGCTGCCCGCCGCCTCTCGCGGCGGCGAGCAAGGGGGTAAGTGAGACGGGGCGGGGCCTTCTCAGAAGGCTCGGAAGTCCCCCGACCATCTGAGAGTCGTTCTTCACCTTCCCCGAAGAGGCCAAAAACCCTCTCGGGAGGCCGGGGGGGGCCTTCTGAGAAGCCCGACGCCTTCTGAGAAGACCTTCTCCTTCTCATTTCCGCCCCTCGCTCGCCGCCGCCTCTCTGGAGGCGACCATCCACGCGACCACGACCACGAGCTCCGCGGTCACCAGCTGTGCCTTGTGAGCGTCTTTTTATTCGACGTTTCGACATTGGGCGGCAAGGGGGGGGTCTGGCTCCAGACCTCTGCTTAGTGCGACTGCTTGCAGGAGTGCGGCCTCTGGGGGAGACTCCACCCCACTCGAAACGGGCGCCAAAAAACAGCCAAGATCTGCTCCATGGGGGGAGAGGGGGGGTTTGGAGGCCCGCGGCGATCGGCAACACAATCAATAAAAAACATCACCAGGCCGGTCTGCAGCCGGCGCTGCTGTTTGGAGGGCCACGTAATAGACCGTGCCACACATCCCAGGATTCCCAATATTTTCGCATAGTTTCTTGATTTTGGTCTTCCCCCCCACTTCCTATGTAGACCCCATCTTTTCCCGGGGATCGATGATTACTTTGAAGGGGCCCTGGGACACACAAGTAAATACACACAAACAACAGGATTCCCCATATTTCCTGGGTTTTCGTCTTCCCCCCCCCACTTCCAACATTTTCCAATATTTTCTGGGGAATCGACGATTAATTGTGTCTGTGTTTTTCCCCTCATGATACAGGGCAGTTTTTAATACATAGGATTCTAAAACATATTGGATTTCAATACATGGTTAATGTATGAGTAAATGTATGCATGAACTCATCGGTGTTTTTAATGCTCAATCCCTGATTTTTTAATACATGATCCGCACGCGGAGCACGTATTGAAAACGGCACTGTAATTGTGTCTGTGCCTTGAGGGCAGCGAGCGGCACCCGCTCGCGCGCGGACTTCAGGAACCGCTCGCCGGCCACCGAGCCCACGGAGTTCGCCAGTACCACCGCCGCGCACAGGCACAGGCCGGCGATGCGCTCCTTCCGGAGCCGGTTGAACACCTCCTCGGAGCGGGAGGAGGAGGAGGAGGAGGAGGAGGAGGAGGAGGAGGACGAGGAGGAGGAGGAGGAGGAGGAGGAGGAGGAGGAGGAGAGGAGGAGGAGGGGAGGGAGGGAGGGAGGGAGGGAGGGCGGAAGGGAGGGAGGAGGAGGAGGCCGGGCGCGGAAGCAGGAGGGAGCAGCAGGACCACATGCCTTCCCCTCCACCTTGCCCTCCCCCTCCCCCTGTGGATGTACCTGAGCACGCGTACACCTGTATGCCCATAGACGTATACATACGTATATATACATATATAAACATAGTTAAGTATGTATGTATGTATGTATGTATGCATGCATGTATGTATGTATGTATGTATGTATGTATGTATGTATGTATGTATGTATGTGTGTCTATATATATGTGTATGTTTATATATATGTACATACACACGTACGAGACTGCCTCGACCCTTCGCGCCGAGCGCCTTGGTCCTTGAAGTTTGGCATGCGGGCGGGAGGGCAAGACGGTGCAGCTGACGAAATAGAGATACCTCCCTGTCGCCTTCTCCGGCACCGTTGGTGATGTTATGCGTCACCCTTCCCTAGTGATTCCTCTTCCTTTTCCTCATTCTCGGCCTACCCTGCGAATTCCTCCCCATCCCCCTCGATACTTTTTGCGGGGGCTCCTCCTTGGAAAGCCTGTTGGGGGCATACCGAAAGTTTTGAAGGGCTTCTTGGGGCCGTCCGGAGGCCTCATGGTCACTTGCTGGGGGACCGCCGGAAGTTTCCTCGGGCCACCCTGCTCACACCTGCGGTCTCCCCGAACGACCGGGCCACGATTCGGAATGCTTCGGGGGGGCGCCCTGGCGTGAGATTGGGCCGTCGTGTGCCTCGCTTCGGGCCATGTTGGGGCCCCGTTGGGCCGTCGTGGGGTTCTCTTGGGTTGCCTGGAAGCGTTTGACGGATAGTTTTGGTATTATTTTCGGGCCTCCCGGGCGGTTTCGGATGCCCACGAGGCCGACGAACATACCATTGCCAAAATCATGGAAAGCCAATGGAACATCAATGTTTTCTGCGTTTCGAGAGCCTGTTGGCGATCCTCTTCGGGTCGGATGGAAGGCGATCCATCGTCGTTGGCCTGGAAAGGTTCTCCGACGGGGGGTCAGAAACGTGGGGTCGCCCCTTTTCCCCCCCAGCAAACAACCGGACGATGCACCCAACCGTTGCGCATCGCGTGGCCAGATCGACTGCCCAGCGATCTGAGACTGGATGGTGCCCCCCCCACTATTCTGGCCCCCAGCAAGAACCCTCGAAAGCGGCGACAATTTCACAGATCGCAGCCACCCAAAGATGGCGAGGTCTAGTCTGAAATTGGGTATGGCCCCACTGCGCTGGACCACGCAACATCCGTCGAAAGTGGTGACAATTTCGCAGATCGCAGCCCCGCATAAATGGCGAGGTCTACTCTGGATCTGGGTGAGGCCCCAACTGTACTGGGCCCCCCACCAACCCTCGAAAATGGCTCGCAAATCGCAGCTCCCCAGGGATGGCGAGGTCTAGCCTGGATCTGCGGGTGGCCCGCTTTCGCCGCCCCCCTGTAGCCCTCGAGAATTGCGACAATGTTGCAAATTGCAGTCCCCCAAGGATGACGAGGTCTAGTCTGAATCCGCGTATAACGTCACCTGTGCTGGCCCCGTCAGCAGCCCTCGAACGTGGCGCCAGTTCTGCAGATCCCAGCTCCCCCAATCGCATCCCCCCAAGGGGGAATCGGGAGGGGGGCGGGGAGGAGGACCGCAGGGCTGTATTCAGAACGAGAACCCAACAGCGGAGGTCTGGGACTGATCCGAAGCGGGGGGGTCGAAACCAGCCCCCCCCAACCCCCATAACCTCTCACCCTCGCAAAGAAGAGGGGGGGTCCGGACACTCCCCCACGAAAGATTATTCAGGTGTTCCCCCCGCCCCCCCCTTTTCAATAACGACGGCGACGACCACGACGACGGCGACGCCGTCAGCGGCGGCACACCTGTCGCCGGCGCCCGCGCCAGGCGCCGGCTCTGATAGAATGCTGCTACGGTTTTAACCAGCTCTGTCAAAATCCCAATAAGGCTCGATCCAGCTTTCACGGCATCCTGCTATATGGGCTGGATCCATCTCGCATAGAATCCGATCGGGGTTCAATCGAGTTCAAATGAATTCCTATCACGTCTCGATCCAGTTTTAACATCATTTTGCTGAGGCTAGATCCTGCTGCGCTGGGTCCAGCCCTAATGGGGTCCTACGACGGCTCAATGCAGCTTCAATGCAGTCCTTATCATGGCTGGATCCACCTGACATAGAATCCTACTGGGGCTCGATCCTACTCAAATATAGAAACCGGCAATGATTGAATCCTGCTCCAAAGAAATCTAACAAGTGCTCGACCCATCACACCGAAACTGGGTATAGCTCTAACAATGCTCCCATAAGACCGATCCAGTTCTATCCAGTTCTGACAGAATCCTGTTCGGGCTTCATCCAGCTTTAAAAACATTGTCTCGGGGTCGATCAAGCTCTCTCCGAAATCTACGTGGGCCCGAACCAACTTCGATGGAATCGTACTTGGGCTCGATACAGCGCTTCTGGTACCCTACAAGGCCTGGATCAAGCCCAAACAGATTTCTACTACGGCTCGATCCAGCAATAATGGAAACCTTCTTCGGCTGGGTTTAGCTGTAGGTAACAGAATCGTATCAGGGCTGGGTCCGAGTCTGACAGAACTCAACTAAATATCCATCAAGCTTCAGCGCAACATCTCCAAAGAGGTGTATCCAACTTCGATCGAATCCTAATAGGTCTCGGTTTATCTTGTTTGAACTCCGAATTGGGCTTGATCCACTTCTAACAGAAACCTACTAGGGCTCGGGCTCGGTCCCGCTTGAACCGTATCCTGCTAGGGCTCGATCATTGTCGTCGTCGTCGACGCGTCGTCGTGGAAATCGTCGTCTTCGTCGTCATGGTCGGGGTCGTCGTCCTAGTCGTCGTCCTCCTCCTCCTCGTCGTCGTCGTCTTCGTCGCCGTCGTCATCGTCGCCGCTGTCTGGGGGTGGAGGGAGGGGGCAGGCGGGGTTCTGGACCCTTCGGATCATTTTCCGACTGGGGGGGGTGTCGGGGTGGGTGGGCCCCCCCCCCGAATAATTTTCCCGGAGGAGGGGGGGGTGAACCCCCCCCCTTGCCAGCAGCGGGAAAAAAACATGATCGGCTACACGTAAGAGTGACCCTGGGTAAGAGTGACCTTTGGTGCGCGGCTCTCGGGGAGCTGCGGGGGCGCCAACCCCAATCGCGCAAGACACTACTGCCGCATCGCCGGACCCCAGTGGGCCCGCACAAAAGGTCACTCTGGCGAAAGGTCACTCTTGCGCGTAGTCGACATTATCTTTTGGGTAGTCTCCGGGCGTCTGATGGGTGTCGGGGGGCCCCTTGGGGCCCTCGGGGCGCCGGGGGCCATGCGGCCGCCCTCGGGCCTCGTGACCAGCTTGGGCCCGCTGCCAAGTCCAGGAGTTCCGGGGGGAGGAGGGAGAAGAAGAGGAAGAGGAGGAGGAGGAGGAGGAGGAGGAGGAGGAGGAGGAGGACGAGGAGGAGGAGGAGGAGGAGGAGGAGGAGGAGGAGGAGGAGGAGACGTCCGGGGAGCTCCCGTGGCCACGGATCCACGGGGTCCCCTTTTGGGGGAGGGGGGGGGGTCCCGCCGCTGGCCGATCAGACAAAAGAAGGAGAAGCAACCTGTGCGCGTATAGAGAAAAAAGGACGCGCGCACATCGCGCGTGCTTCAATCCTGGCCGAGGGCATTCTGGTGACTCCGACCAGATTATCTCCCCAATCCACGTCGATTCTACCCACATGGACGGGGCCACATAGGCCAGGCCAACTGGAGAACCCATTGCAATCTCCTCGCTCCTCTTCCATCCTTCCCGCTCTCTCCTGCGCGACCACCCGCACCCCACAACCGCGAACCACACACGCGCGCGACCAACAACCAAGACACACGCGTTTTGCTTTGCCGAACACGTGCTGCCTGTGCCGGTCGGGCCACTTTCAACATAGATGATACGTGTGTGTGTGTGTGTTGAGAAGGGCGCCTGTGCATTTACTGTCGAGCCTCGCGACCCGCAGGCCATGCGCTCCAACCCGCCCACATTCTTTATCAAAGCAGACAGAACATGGCGCCAACGACGGGCTGATTGCTTCAACCAATCGAGGCGCCTTTGAACTGGTCCTCGAGCCCCGTGGCTCGACACCCAGTGCAAGGAACCTCGCCAGAGGCACCGAACCTTTTGACATATCATGCAAGTGTGCGTGTGCGTGTATCTTGACATGCAGATCTAGATATACATATCTGTGCGTTTGGCTCCCACCAAAAATGTGACACAGAAATTCGACTGTTCCGGTGGCTCCTCCTGGGTGCTCTTGGGCTGTCTGAACCTCCCGGACAGGCTCGGGCAGCCCAAGGGACCCAGATGCTCTCGAGATGGAGCGTCCAAGACGGCCAAGCGGGCCCCCAAGACGCCCCAGAGACGGCGCCAATGTGGCCCAACGAGGCTCTCAGACCGATCTCCGCTGGGCGCCCAGATGCAAATTATCAGAACCAGCTTGGTGGTCATGCATTCCCCGAGCTCTCTCCGCATCAGCTCCAGATAATTCGAGTAGGCCCGGGACTTTCAAGATGGCCTCCAATACGGCACCAATATGGTTCCAAGAAGCCCAAGACCGCCCCATGATAGCCACAAGACCCTGGTATTCTTCAGCTGTCCGCTGATCTCCACGCTTGAGATGTTAGGCATCCAGTACTCCCCGTGAGAACCTTGCCAGACATGCCTTCGAGGCTCCCGCCACCCCCTCCCTTCGGCTGGAAGCCCAACAGGAAGCAGAGAACCCGGTTCGAGAAGGGCTCAACAGCCCCCAGGAGCCCGAGGGCCCAAAAACCGGGCAAGCCCGGATCACCTTGTTGGGCCACGGCTTCCCCGCCCGAAGCCCCTCGGGCGGGCCGACAGCTCTCGTAACACGCTCGCGCTCTCCCGAGCTCGCCCCCTCGCTGCCGGTCGGGCCTGCGAGGGCCGCACATGCTCGGCTCCCTGCCATTCGCTCGGAGGTCCATGCCCTGTTCATTGTTGGGTTTCGCGCCGCGCTTGCCCCGTGCGATGATCCAAGATGCTCCTCGATGGTCTCGGCTCGCCCCCAAAGCGCCCTGGGCGTGGTCTAGCGTTTCCACTGTGGGTTCTTGACACGCTGAAGGCGCTGAAACAACGGTGCGTTTGTTTGTGTCGTGTGTGTTCGGACAATTGCTTGGGTGTTTTTGTTTGTGTTGTTGTCCGTCTGCAGGCTGAAAGCGCTCAAACAACGTCTGAGCACGCTAGAACAACGCATCATGTGTTTAGCGCTGTCATTTTTTGCCTGTTGAGACCTGAAAGCGTCAAACAAAAAAAGAGTTACAAGACGCCGAGCCGAAAACGCAGAACAAAAACGCCCTGGGCAGGAGGGGGGGCGGGAGGCGGGAGGCAGGAGGCGGGAGGAGGAGGAGGCAGACGCGACCGCGGTGCTCTATACAAAATGAACACCCAACCAAGGAGGGCTGGGAAAAAGAAAACGAGTGCCAAGACGCCGAGCTGAAAACGCTAAACAAAACCGCCCTGGGCATGTTTGATTAGAGGCGAGCCAAGTCGACGGTCCAGCTGTTCTGGCGCTGACCTCGCTGATGCCAAACCAATGCACACGTCCGAACGCCACCGCCCCCGGGCCTCCTCGCCCTCCCGGCCGCCTCCAGGGCTTCTCGCTCCCTTCCCCCTTTGCCCCTTGGCTCCTCCTCCTCCTCCTCCTCCTCCTCCTCCTCCTCCTCCTCCTCCTCCTCCTCCTCCTCCTCCTCCCTCTCCTCCTCCTCCTCCTCCTCCTCCTCCTCCTCCTCCTCCTCCTCCTCCTCCTCCTCCGACGACGACGACGGCGGCGGCGGCGGCGGCGGCGGCGGCGGCGGCGGCGGCGGCGGCGACCGCGAGGGGCGACGGACGACGGACGCCGCCGACGACGGCGGCGGCGGCGGCGGCGACGACGACGAAGGGCGACGGACGATGGACGCCGCCGACGACGACGACGGCGACGGACGGCCGAGGGGCAACGACGCCGTTCCTCTCCCCCCCGTGTTTTTTTTACGTCGACGGCAACACCACTTTGCTCTCCCTCCAGGACTTCGCCTCCGGCTCCTGTCCAAGGCGTACCTTTTCCTGTGCAAGCTCTTCGGCACCGCCTGCACCCCGCGCCCTCCGGCCGCCTGAGACCCCGCCCGCCCGCGCCCTGTCTCCCCAATTAGTGCTTTGCGCGCCCCGCCTAGCTCTTAAACGGAAGAGGCTCGCTCTCGACCCGCAGGCCAAACAGTTTTCTTTTTGTTGTGTTTGTTTTGTTCCCTTCCCCCCCCCGCTTGGGGCTCCGGCGAAGCCGCCGCGGCGCCCTCGGCCTCCGCCTGCACCGTGTCGAAGGCCAGCGTGGCCGCGCAGATCGTCGCGATGGAGAGCCACTGCTCCCTGCTGTACCTCGGGCACGGCCCACCGGGGTCTGCCGTTCGGACTTGCTCGTCGGTTCTCTTTGGTCTTTGCTTTTCTGGCCTCGGGATGCCCTCCAACGGCTGCGCTGCACCGAGAGCGCTGCGGGGATACCACAGTCGTCCCGAACGGCCACCTGCGTCCTGAGTCGTGGCGCCCGAAAACAGGTCGGACAGGGGCCATGGTTGGGGGGGGGGGCCTTGAACCATCGATGCCTACCCTGCACACCGTTCTGCCGATGCTAGGCATCGCCAGCTCGATGCCCAGGCGCCACAAGGTCGATGCCCAGAAACCTGCTGGGCGCAGCTGCGTGCAGCTGCGTCCACGCCCACGGCGCATCCCTCGAGGCATGGGCAGTGCGCAAACCCCGTGCAGATGCATGGGCATCCAGGCTCTGGGGGGCTCAAGGCCATGGCTGGGAGCAGAGCGGGCGGGCCGACCCCAGCTGCACCTGCACCCCGGTATCATCCACACGGAGAGGAACGCGGTGCACGGCAGGATGAGCTGCGTGGAGAGCTTCACGGTGCCCGCGTCCACGTGCGCGAGGGCCGCCACGGTGCACGTCTTGCTGACGAAGAACAGCGCGGCCACGGGCATACAGCGCGCCACGCTCCACGGGTGCAGCCCCAGCAGCGCGCCCGCGAGGCCCAGCTCCGCGCTGCTCAGGCCCAGCGCCAGCACCGCAGAGACCCCCAGCTGCACGAGCAGCAGCGAGGAGGGCAGGAAGCGCTCCGAGGGCGAGCGGCCGTGGCTCGCCCAGCCCACGAGCAGCATCTTGGCCACGTCCGCCAGGATGTAGACCCCGACGGCCGCAGCGGCGCCGCCCCAGAGCCGCAGCGGCCTCGCCGGCGGACCGGGGACCAGGGGATGGGGGTCGGATCGGATCGGAAGCTCGCAGAACCCATACGTAACGCCCGTGGACCAGAAATTGCAACACTTTGAGTGTTGCTGCAGGTGCCGATCACGGACTGAGCTGAAGACTACTCTGCGGTAACTACGGCACCCGCAGTGTTCAAGAAACCGCACGACCTGCTGAAGGGCGCGGCGGACACGGGGCAGAACATGCGCACTGGTGGGCAGGGACAGGCGTAGGTGCGTCGCGTGGTGGCGGCACGGCCAGACGAGGGCTGAAAGGAAGCTCTCCATGCACAGCCCCCAACATGGAGCACAGATCGGCTCCTCGATGGACTCGCCCACTGAGCCCACCTTGGGATAGGCCCCCCCCCCTGCGAACCCCCGAGTTTGCGCACGGGGACTCTGTGGGCTCTCACAGGGCACCTCCGAGGCCGCCCAAGCGAGGGGGCCTCCCCCGAGCCCTCGACCGCCCGCCTCTTCCTGCGCTCCCTCTCCTGCGGCTGGCCGCGCGCTCCTCCCCCTCCGGCGGCCGCTCCTCCTCTCCGCCCACCGCCTCCCGCCTCCCCGCGGACGCCTCCGGCAGACCGCGCCCCCCAAAGACCGTCGGCCCCTCGACCCCTCGACGCCCCCGACCTCCTCGAGCCTCCTCTCGAGCCCCCTCGACGCCAGCGACGAGGCCCCGATCCCTCGCCCCCTTGCCCTCGACCCCTCGACGCCGGCGACGAGGCCTCGACCCCTCGCCCCTCGACCCTCCTCCGGCGGAGGCCCGGGCGGCCGACCGGCGCCTCCGCTTTCCGCCTTCACCCCCGCCCCCTCCCCCCGGGCTGCTGCGGCTAGCAAAGCGCGTCGCGCAGCGCCGCTCCGGCCGCGCGGGGGGCGCCCGGGGAAGCGGCGGAGGACGGCGAAGGACGACGACGACGGCGGCGGACGACAGAGACGGGGGGCAGCGATGACGACGGCGGCCGACGGCGATGACGACCACGCCGCGCGAGGAACTGCGGCGACGACGGACGACGGACGACGACGACGACGATGGCGACGACGACGACGATAGCGCCGACGACGACGCACGACGGGCGACGACGGAGGAAGACGACGACGTCGACGGAAGAGGGACGACAACCAGGACCACTGACGACAACGACGACTACGACGACAACGACGACAACGACTACGGACGACGACTACGACGACGGACGAAGAAGACGACGTCGACGGACGAGGGACGGAGCCAACGACGTCGACCATGACGACGACAACGACGACGGACGACGCACGACCAGAACGACGACGACGGACGACGGACGAGAGACGACGACAACGACGACGACGACAACAACGATGACGACGACTGCCGACAGACGACCACGACGACGACGATGGACGACGGATGGACGACGACTGCGGACGATGGACGACGGGCGATGGAAGACGATGATGACGCCAGCAGAGGTGGGACGACGACGGCGACAAGGCTTCTGCTTCTCCGCCTGCTCCTGCTCCTGCTTCTGCTCCTGCTTCTGCTCCTCCTCCTCCTCCTCCTCCTCCTGCTCCTCCTCCTCCCCCTCCTCATCCTCCCCCTCCCCCTCCTCCTCCTCCTCCTCCCTCCTCCTCCTCCTCCTCCTCCTCCTCCTCCTCCTCCTCCTCCTCCTCCTCCTCCTCCTCCTCCTCCCCCTTCTCTGCATCCTGCCTACATGCCTCCTCGTGGGAAGCAGGGAACTGGTCACCACCACCTGGGGGTCATCGTTTGCCGCAATTCGCGCAAGAATTGCGAGCACTGGGGGGGCGGAAGTGTTCAGAATGCGAGCTCTCACGGTGCAGTTTCAAATCGGAATTGGGCGGCCGAAGGGTATTACAACGTCCTTGGGTGCTTGGCTAAAGTGGTGATCCTCGGTGGGAATTGTGCTTGTCGTCGTCCTGCCCGCGACGCACTCACATGGCTTTGATGAAATGTCGTCGCCTTCGGCGGGCTACTGGTGTAATCTGTAAACCCCGAATATTGCGAGGAGGGGCCGCGTGGTCCCAGCTTACGCGTTTCTTATGCAGCTCTACGCAGGCATTTACGCAGGGTGCCGTCCCCAGGACGCCCGTGCCCGTAGTGGTATGGCCACGGCTCTTCAAGGAGCGGCCGCGTGGCCTCGCCTTACGCAGTTCTTACGCGGCGTTACGCAAACATTTGCGCAAGGTCGTACTTTCAGGACGATGTCTGTTCACCTTTTGGTTGCAAGGGCAAAAACGTATCTTCTGTCGTGTTGCTGCTGGTGGACGAAGTGCAGGTCCCACGGCGGCGTATAAAAAGTTGCACAGATCGCGTGGCGGGTCCCATATCCAGCCTTGGTGGTACAAATCGTCAATACCACCGCGGCTGGCCTTGTCCACCGGGTTGTCGTGGGTATTGACATACTCGACCCACAGATGCACTAGCTCGTCGCTCGTGGACAATATTCCACGTGGCGTGCGTCACGTTGTTTAGATCTGCGTTCACGCTGTTGCCTTGATCAGCGCGCGCATAGCGTTCGTGTTGTCTATGAAGTGGATCCAAAGTCGGTGTTTCAGGCCTGGCCATGTAGCTAAGGCGAGCAGTGTTCCAACACCTTCGATTGGCGCTATGGTGGTGGAAGCATGGTGCGCCCATGTGTCCAGCGCGCTCTCCGGGGCCCTCGTCGAGGTGATGCGGGGGCGTTCAGCTGGTTCTGCAGGGTGCCACATTGCCACGGCGACGTTGCCCGAGCCCTCCCCGTCGCTGATGGTGACGACCAACGGCAACCAGGATACGTCGCACAGAATGCGGCGCCGATGTTCATGGAGAAATGCTTCTTCGAGCCATCTGAACATGGCGAGCATGGCGATGTTGACCCCGACGAAATTGCCACTTCTCTGGCGGGTTCGCAGCTGCGCCAGCACTGCCGCTCCGCACCGGCCCCGCAGGCTCGAGTGCACCCAGTTGAACAGGCCGCGCAGCGTCGAGGCGTCTGCTGCCGTCACCCCCCATGTAGCCCGGTGGGGGCGGATCATAGATAACAGCTTGTCGACTTTGGCCTCGCAGAGCCGCGCTGTCGCCTCCAGGTCCAGTCGGCGCTCCGCACCAAGCAGGCGAAGGCGCTCGCTGGGCGGCTTGCTCTTGCTGTTGTCGCACCTCCAGCCGATGAGGTCCATTATCTCCAACGCAGGAGCATAGGAGTGCATTGCGGTGCATTCTGGCTCAATGCCCCACATGTCATCAGAGTAATGGCGAAGCAAAATACCCAAGCATACCCTCGCAAAATAAGATATGAAAGGGGGTGTTCGACGAAATGCGTCCGAGCAGCCTCATTGCCAAAAGTCACTCCCAGCGGCCCCGCCCACTGGACTCGCTCAAGTTGGGAATACCGCACCAACTCATAATGGTACGATGCGCATCCCGCCCATAGCGGGCCCTGCCGGAACGCCACTCCTCAGTCTATGTGAAAGCCTTGGAGGCGCGCGTTGCCTGGGGGGGCCTCTCTCAAGGCACGCACTACCGCATGTGCCGATGATAAATCTTCGGGGGGGTATTTCTCGCCCAGCGCGGCGGCGCAGATGCATCCAGACGCCGCCCAGTCCGAGATTTAACGACGCTTCCACGCGCCGCCCTCCTTGCGCCCCCACCTGGGCCACCGGGGAGTCAGGCATGCGTTATCGAGGTCAAGTGCTGTAAGCTCGCCAGGCCCTTCGCCATGCCCCATCGAAAGCTCGGCCAGGGTCTTCTCCCGCCTGGTCGCGAGAGCTGTCTCCAGAACTTCGCATCCCTTGGATCACGCGTTCGTTCCGCTCTCGCGGGCACGCAGTCCACTCTTCGATCGCGATCGCGCCCCTGTTGCGGTCTTCGCTGTACACCTCGCTCGGCGGGATCTCTCCCAGGCAAGGCTGCCCGCGCATCAGCCGGGCGACGTAATCAGTGCCGCTGTAGTTGGCGTGCTCTACCATCCACTCCAAAAGGGGTACAAGCAAGTGGCCGAATACCTCGTGGACGTCGGGGTGCAGCTTCTCCGCGCAATGCTCTCTGAGGCTCTCCACGCGTCGAGCAGCGTCGCGCGCGGGCTGCATTTGCGCCTCGCGCCAGATGTGCACATCATCGAAGTGATCGAGCGTGCTGCTGGCGGCCTGCATCCACGCGCCAGGCAGTGGCGGGGGCGCTACGGCGGGGCGCTGCAGACGAGGCAACTGCTCGAGGAACGCCTCGGGCCCACATCCTGGCTGGATGAGCGGCTCGAAGCATTCGCCGCGCGGCTGCTTGCCAAGCGCCAGCGCGCGCCCGATCCTGGCCCTCACCCGGGTGCTCGACGACGCCTGCCTGCGGGCTTTCGCTGACCGCCCCCGGCAGGCGGGCACCGCCACCCTGCGCGGCATGTTTCCGGCCTGGGTTGTGACCGAGGCTGTCATTAGATTCCGCGCGTGGGCTGGGCAAGTCTGGCCCGCCCGCCCTGGCCCCATTGCAGCGTTCGGGGCCAGGCCCCGCAGCTCGCTGCGGGCTGGCACGGTGGTTCTTGGCCCTGCAGTGCTTGGCTCCGCATCCAGGGCGGTCGCGCTCGTGCAGGTCTGGGCACGCCGCGCCCGTCCGGCAGCCCGTGGCCTTCTTGGAGGACGGGCGCTGGAGCTGCCCAGTATTCTGCCTCTTGCGCTCCAGCCCCGGCCAAGCTCCCTTGGTGCGCGCGGGGGGCTAGCTCGCCCCGGCGGCGCCGCCTGGCTTTGGCGCCTTGCGCGGCTGCTCGTCTCGGGGGGCTGGGCGCCTTGCCCGCGGCTGCGGGCAGGCCCTCGCGGCGGCGACTCGCTCCCGGGCCGCTTCCTGTCCCCCGCGTCTGAGAACTGGTAGGCGCTCTGACCGTGGTGGTGGGTAACGACTTCCTTGAAAATCGCGAACTCACTCCGCTGCCAGCTCAGCACCCACTTGGCGCGCATGC